CTGTCTCAATTGATATAATTTATTTACAACAATTAATAAATTTATCTTATTACTTTTCATGTAAGAAAGTATTCTTATAGCTAATTATCTTATTAGTGAAAAATGTATAATAATACTTTTAATATAAAACTTCATAAAGAATACTTATACTCAAATATAGATCTATTCTCTCAACATTTTCAGCCAGATTTAACTTAAAAAGCAAATAACAAAAAAATAAATTACTTATTAAACAATGTAAATATTTAACTATAAATGAATTCAACCAATATAATGAATTTACTTGAATATAATTATCTTGTTAACTATTTAAATACTCTACAATTACCAGAAAATTTAATAATAAAAAATAATAAAATTTCAAAAAAAAGTAATATATTATATTACTAAAAATCAAATATTATACTAATAAAATAATAGAAATTCAGAATAACTATTAAAAGTGATTAAAATAACTAAAATAGTAAAAGTATTATTTAATGAACATTCAGGAATTCATATTAGAGATTTTGAAATAGAGGTAACATATTATAGAGTATCTCAAAATTATTATTGATTAAATTTATATCAAGATATTAAAAACTATATTAAAGCATGTAATATATCAAAGAAAAGGAAGATTGAAGAAAAATAATTTATTATATCCAATTAAAACAAAATTATTATTTGAAAAATTAGAATTGACTTAATAGAACTATTACCATTTATTATGCATTACATTGGACACTCAATCAAATTGCTAAAAAATATTAGTATTATATTGCTTTAGAACTGTTCTCACATTAAGTAAATAACAAAAATCTATTAGTAATAATGATAATCTATTTTGATGATAGAAGATATTAACAAAAATAGATATATAGTAGTTGCTATAGTGCATAATATCTAAAGTCATCAAATATTTGTATTTTATAAAATGGATAAACTTCTTTACTAAAAAGTAAATACAAAATTTAATCCGTGAATATGATATAATAAGCTCTTTCTGAGTATATTCACAGATTAAATTTTGTATTTACTACTTTATTGAGAAGTTTATATATTTTATAATATACAAACATTTGATAACTTTAAATGTTATGCACCATATTAATTATGAAATAAAATAAACAAAAGCATGAGTTATTTTTGATACAATATTAATAACAATAATATCATTCTTATATAAAAATATTATTTATAAATATGAATTTTCAAGAGAATTAATTTTTAATAGAGGAACAATCTTTATTAATAAATTAATTAGAATATTATATAAAATATATCAAATAAACATTATTTCTTAAAATTATATCATTCTCAAACTAATAGATTAGTTAAATAATTAAATAGAATATTGTGCGAATCATTAGCAAAACTAGTATAATTATAAAAATGAATAGAATTTTTACTTATCATTTATCTATAGAATAATTTAATAAAATATAATTAAATTTACTTTATTTTACTTGATCTATAGAAAACAAGTAATAATTCTAATAAATCTTAAATTATAACTATTAAAAGAAAATAATAAATAAAATTATCAAGCAAGCCTGTATAATAATAGACAAATTAAAAATTAATAGAATAATAGCTTATCAAAATATTCATAATCTTAACAAAAACAAAAAGAATTATATCAACAAGATAAAAATGCACAAATTTTCTTCATCAAAGATAAAAACTTAATGAGAAAGATAAAAATGCAATACTGATATTATGAAAAATTTTTGCAAAAATGGAAAAGACTATTCTATATTCATGAAAAACTTAATAAAGAAATCTATTAATTAAGAATAATAAATAAAAATTTCTATAATAGTGATTGCTTAAAACTATATTTTGAAGATAATAAGTTAGAATTAATAATTATAATTCAAAATTAGAACTAGCTAATCTAACTGAGAAGTCAATAAACTAAGCTTTACAATTGGTTAAATTTTATATTACCTTTGGAATGAGAATCATAAAATTTTTTAAAATATTAAAATTAATTTCAATCAAAGAATATTACTATCTTAAATTCTATTATCCTAAAGAATTATTCAAGAATAACTTAGTCAAGTATCCAATGTTTGTGAATTAAAAGATTGGAGAACATTATCATACTGTGAAAAATAATATTAATCTTGTATAGAAGTTACAAGAATCATTAAATATGAAAGAAAAATTTCAAAATTAATAATATACTCTCTATTCATATTTTTATCATTGATATAGAAATTGTAAAATATTCTCTTATATTAATTATAATACTTGTAATTCTGAGGAAAAATCTACTACTTTAAAAAAAATCTAATAGTATTATTAATAACTAGAATTCTCAAAAAGAAATCTAATATATTTACTTTATTGTTTGAAAAAGTATTATATAATAATTTATTCTAAATATAGTTAATTCTCTCTATTGTCAATATGATAGAATCAAATATTTTTATTGATATTTAAAAGAATTGATAACTCAAAGATTAGAGTATATTAGTTCAAGTAAATATATTTAGCAATAAATTTTAATAATAAAGTGGGATTAATATTAAAAAAATTAATAATAAAGTGAGTTGACTAATAGATTTTTTTGATTTTGTTATAACTAATTATTATCAAAAGCTTTTTATAAATAATTAGTGGAACAAATTAATATAAAAATAAATATTTTTATATATAATTTTCTATTATACTTAAGTTAAAATATATAGAACTTCTAAAAATTTATTTTGCTTATTGAATATATAAACAAAAAATACTATTAATTGCTATATAGAATATATCAAATTGTATAGTAATAAAATATATATTTTAATTAGAATTAAGAGAACATATCTTGAAGTTTATAAGTTCGATCCAGAACTAATATTATAAAAATATAATATGTATGAAGTATTATAAATAACAATTTATAATAAAAAATTCTATCAAAAATTTTATTTTTCTATTTAAAATTTATCTACAAAAATTATCTTTCAGTTTGTTACCTTATAACTAAAGTTTTTTTGTATCATAAATATAAAATCTATAACTGTGATTTGATAATTTGATAATAATTTTAACACAATGCTGTTTTGTCAAACTGCATTATTAATTGTGCTGGAATCTTCTTTTATAGGATGATGTTATTTTTGATTAATTTTCAAAGAAAATTAATTTAAACATTATTTTCTATATAACATTTTATTAATTTTTATGAATTTGATTCTATAGTTTAATTAAAATGACAGTTCATGAATCAATAACAATTATTTTCCTTAAAGTTTACACTTTTGTATCTAGTTGGATTCTAGCATCTTTATGATTTTATTTTTGAACTCGCTGAATAAATATTTTTCGATTTTTCCTTGACAGACACATAGTCACATTCAATTTCAATTATTCTTAGGAAGAATTTCAGCTCTGCTTTGAATTACACTCAAATTCTTTCTTAAAATATTGATATGATATGATTATTGTTCAAACGTCGTAAATGTGTATGCTTTGTAATAAAAGGGATAGCCACTGAAGGGTAATGATTGTTCTATTATGATAAATCCATTAAGAGACTAATTTTTGGAAAGGATTAATCTTTTCGAGCTTATGTTTGTATCATTTCTAATGTGATGCATAGCATCTAAAGTCATCAAACATTTGTATCTTATAAAATGTATAAACTAAGAAGTAAATAAAAAATTTAATCTGTGAATATCGATATGCTCAGAAAGGGCTTACCGTACGCCACTGACCTTAGTACCCGGGTACTATTCAAAAAACTTGGTTTTAAAATTGAAATATACCGGTACTATTCACGAATCCAGTGATTTCATTGGTGGAGAAGGGAGGTATTATAGTCAGGGGGTACAAAGGTCAGTGGCGTATGGTAGTTGCTGTTTATCAAATTAATCTCCTGATTTTATGATAAGAATTTTACATAATCATCACAGATATCAACATTCATATTTATTATTTCAAAAAATTAGCGATAAATGCTCAAAAGACATAGTGATCAATTAAGGCAGAATAAAAAGCAATAATTTACAATTTCATGAGAAATATCTTTATAATTATAATCATAACTATAATTAGAGTTTTTGAAATAACATATCGATAAACTTATGATCCTCCATCAATAAATCCTTTTCTCAAATCCGCGAGTAATTTACGATTCCACTGTTGACGACAAGCCAACGCATTTTTACCCTCAACTTTATTAGAGACCAAATTCCAGTCTAGGCTTGGGATTTGCTCCAACACGGCATTTAGAAGTTGAAGCCGTTGACTGCTTGACCACTTTATCGAGGTTAATTTCGTTGTTGGTTCCGTTGCGCTGGTTTTTCTGATTCTGTTTTAATTATTATAGTATCATCTTCGGGAAAAGGTTTTGAGGTAGTTTGGTTTTTAATCTGATATTTTTCTGATTCTGATTTAATTATTATAGTATCATTGTCGAGAAAAGGTTCGGAGGTAGTTTGATTTTTAATCCGATGTTTTTCTGGTTCTGTTTTAATTATTATAGTATCATTTTCGGGAAAAGGTTTTGAGGTAGTTTGGTTTTTAACCCGATGTTTTTTGGTTTGTACTTTGGGCATTCTCTTTTCGGTGAAAGTAAGCAAAGATTGGCTGATTTATGTTATTCCTATCGTTATGTCGATTAAATATTAAATTATCCCGCCCAATTTATTATGCGCATGATGATTTACTTGTGAATTTTCTCGATATATTGTTTGATATCATCTCGAGACTCTAGTGTACATACAGTATTATAATTTTCAATAACTCTAAGCTTGATTATTCAAGCAAAGTAATTTATAATGACTCGTTATTGTGATAGATATTATTCAGACTTTTTATTATCACTTTATAATCAATTTATAGTATAGACACAATTAAATCCAAGAACGCCGCCGAAAGTAAACAAGAAAATCGTAATATTCGTTTGAGTTTCTGAAATTTTGTATTTCGTATTCCAAACAAAATTAAAACAGGTTTTTTTTACTTTTTGAGGCGTGAGATGCTAGATAATATATTCTTATTATTTACTTATGACTAGAAGTGGAATTTGACACAGAAAGAGATAAATTTTTCAAAATGCTTAGATAAAAAAATATATTTAACCTAAATAGTAGTATTAATTTCTTGAGAAATTTTTCAATCGACAAATATGAAAGTAAAAATTTTATTTGAAAGAGTACTTTGAAAAATTAGTTTGAAATGAATGCTATTCTATTAATTATTATCTTTGTTTTCAAATCTTTAGGCTCTTGTTTATAGAATGATCTATATTTGCTGTTTTGTTGAATTCAATATTTTTAAAATTTTTGATGCTACATCGGAAAAACTATAAAAAATTGAAATAATCTAATTGATTTATTAACGTTAATATTTTTTATAAACCATTACGATTACATGTACTGTATTAATTTTGATAGTCAAGCGGCATTCATTTTTCTACTAGATAGCACAAAGTTCTCGATAATAGAGAGTTATAATGTCAAGTTTAATTTCATAAATTCTTTTAAGTTCATTCGCTGATGTTTCCAATTAATTTCTTCAAAGCTTTGTAAATACACCAATTACAAACATGAATTCAATTACGTATGATTCCATAGCATATTAATTAATAAAGAACCAAATGAATATCTCATCTGATATGCCAAAATGGAGTTTTTCATTTGTATACATTAAATACCGATACTTGTCAACGCTAACATTAATTTAGCTTTAATAACAAGAATTGGCATGTAATATAACAAAGAGCACATTTGATAAATTTGATAAATATCAAGCTAAAAAGAGTCAATATACAGTACGTGTATCTAATACAACAATTTCCTAACAAATATATCTATTACTATGTTATACTGTATAGTATTTACATGCACTGACATCAGGATATGAATGATTCTCAACCCAAATTTCGATTATTCTATTAATTGTTTCAAATACTCGAAGGTTGATTATCGATTTCCAAATACAAAATACAACGACAACGAACATGAGAAACATTATTATTAGATGATTTTTATTGCAAAATTTATATATTTGAAATTAGTCAATTCTAGAACATCAATTCCTATTCCCTATCGCTATACTAACATGACTAACTTAATTTTGTCCTTCATCTGATACAATTATTTTTTGAGTTTGCTCTAAAGCATTACTCCATTTCTTCTATATACTATAAATAATTTTACGTCTCCTACCAATATTCGTTAATGTTAATATCACCGATATGTTAATATTACCGTTACCTGTTAGAAGGATATATCATCTGTCATCACTGTTGATTTGTGTTTATATCAATATAACTGATTTATTCGCAAATTTATAATAAAGTTTCTTTAATACATGTACATCAAATGCATCTGTTATTGCGTGTCATTTTTCATTCGGACATGTCGCCAATCTTTAATACAACATCATACAGTCATAAAATCATACAGTACACAGAAGTCGATTTTCAAACGGAAGTTCTATAAAAGTATGGCCCTTCTTTTAACAAATACAAATCATCATTATTATCTCGTTTATTTTACCATCATTTCAAAGGTTCAAATAAAATACTGCACATAAAGTGAACTCAAAGATGGAATCTAAAATTTCGAATACAAATTGCAGTGATTTCTGGTATTGTCAAGGCGAGTATAGCTGCAAAGCATGTTTATTTCACAATATTTATGATTGTAGTAGATGCTACAGATGTCAACATATAAAGGACTGCAATGAATATTCAGACCGCAATACTCATGATTGCAGTAAATGTGCTGACTGTCAAAAAATTGGGTCACTGATTATCACCAACGAATATGTAATAGCTGAATGGTCTGATGAAAATAAAGATATCGACAGTCTAATAAAAAGAATCAATCCAAGTTTTTAAAAGATTCACCAAAACCTCCTTTTGCAAGATATTCAACATTGGAACAATTTATAAAGCATCGTTGCACAACTACTTCATGAGGAAAATAAATTTAAGCTTGGTGATAAAGACAGTATTATTGTTTTGAAATCATTGCACAATTCAAAGCAAATTACATTAGAATTTATAAACGAGGAGGTAAACATGAACAATTCCTAAGTGTAACGGTAACCAAGATGCTTTTGGTTTCTAATCTAATTAAGCTTTTCGAAACATAGATTCAGGCTGCTCTAAAGTGCAATATTTTTTCAGAGTTAAGAAACCTTGTTACAAGTGAATACTCGACAGTAATGACTTACGCAATGAAGGGCTATCTACACAAATGCATTAATCCCAATTACGAAAGATTGAATAGGGAACAAAAATTAAAATGATTACTTAATATTATCTCAGGGCTGAGTAAATAAAATTCACAAAGAGGAATTTATACATTGTGACTTTCACCCTTGAAATATATTTTTGTGTGGTCGTGCACAAATTGCCAATTTTGGACTTGCCGACTCGGCTAATTTAAATAAGACTAATCGAAAAAATCGCGAAGTTCTTCCTTATATTAGTTCAGAGGTGCTAAATAGAAAGCCATACACTAAAGCTGCAGATATTTATAGGTTTGGAGTGGTTATTTACGAGATTGTAACAGGTGAAGGACCATTCAGTGAGCGGGGTCATGATACACATTTTGTATACAACGTTTATCAAGAAATACGACCTGAACAACATTTATTAGCAAGACAGATCACTAATCACATTTTTTATAATGTGCTTTGATAAAAAAATCCAGAGTTTTTTTAGTTCCGAAAAACCACAGATTTAGTTATAAACTTTCTAGATTAAAAATGAGGGACGCGATATCTTGTGATCGACAGCTTCAATCCAGACAAAAATACACTATTCGGTTCGTCTGTATTGACGAATCGAATGATTGAACGTGTGAATCATGAGATATCGCGTCCCAAAGTTATTGTATCAATTTTTTTAATTTTTTTGCTCAAAATTAAAATGAATGTCTTATCTCTAAACACACCATCATTAAATTCGCCTAGTTTTGGTGAATTAATGATAGTAATTTTAACCAAATGGTCCGGTAATTCATAAGCTATCATGTATCAAAGTACTTATTTTAATTTGGAACACTTAATCTGAAGCATGATATCCATTGACCCATCAGGCCAAATTTCACAAATTTGAGCCACTATTCCACTAAATTTCAGTAAATATGTGGCTTTATTTTTATCCAATTCTGTTTAATGAGTCATGAGAAATTAATCCATTTTTTAAAAAAATGGGAAAATAAAAAATTTATCCAGTAACTTTGGGACATGATATCTCATAATTCATGGACAATAATATCACTATTCAATTTGTTTAGTCTTGACAAATAGTCTTGCTTATAAATTATGGGTTCACATTAGCATAAAAATATTAATATAATTATTAAAAACTATGAGAACCTCCACATTTTCAAAGCTTAATCTATTAAATTTATGTATTTGCTTCAATAAATTTTATCTCTGCAACTGAGAGCGAAAAAAAGTAATAATCCAAACCTATCTTCATATGAGCTTTTTTCTCTTGACAATGTCTGATCTAAAAGACTAATTTTTTAAACTTCATCAAAAGATTAGATTAATACTAGTAATTTTACTTTTAATATTTATATAGTTTAATATTATATATTTTAGTCATTCAAAAATATTACCAAAAAATAATAACTTTTAAAGATATAACTAATATACAAATGTTATTTTGTAATTTCATGAAATCATATACTAGATAAGATTTATTATATTGTTATTGTTGTTATTATATTTGAAAATTTAAAAATTTATGTTTTTAAGAGATTATCATCAATATTAAGATAATAAATTATTAGTCTTTACAATAACTTTTTATTATCTTTTTTATATTATTGAACCAATTTGAAATGTGGATCTTGTTGAATTTTATAGCAATTTTCAATAAAATATCTTATTAAAATTCTTTAACTGATGATCAAATCATAATTAGAAATATATCAAAATTTAATTAACAATATTTTTTTATATAAAAATTTAATTACATTTAATTTTTGGCTAATATATAAAATAAAATATTTTTTTCTTCTAAATAAATAACATATAAATCAAAAAGAATTTTTTATAATATGAATAATAGAGAGAAATATTGATAATTATATAATAGATAAATCAAGACTTGAGTATTGATATCTATTATATTGATATCAGAAAAATTATTTTGCTTTAATTGGATTAAATAAAATAATTTATATCTTTATATTTAAGATTTTATTTTAAACTTATATATATTCTTTAATTTAACTATAATTACAAAATAATAAACAAAAATATATATAATTATAAATAAAAAAATATATAATTAAATTAAAAATATTTAATATAATAGATATATTATGATAAGTTTTTATATTTAATATATATAATTAATTATATACTATATTTAATATCAAAAGTATGAATCACAAGTTTCAATTTCAGTATAAGAATACTTTCTTACGTGAAAAGTAATAAGATAAATTTATTAATTGTTGTAAATAAATTATATCAATTGAGACAG